GCTCATGCTGTGCCTCCGCACCAGGCTTGGAGATGTCGCGCTGCACCAGTCTGGGCAACTCCCGCGTGCTGCAGAAACACGCGAAAGAAGGAAAAAAAATCAAAAAAAAAAAAAAAAAAAACCAASCCSCCCTCTACTCGGTCCCATGTAAGACTCCCGTTCGCTTCCTGTATGGTTATATCATAGTAACACTTACTGCCGTCTCCGCTGGTAGTCTGTCCTTGAGTTTAATATTTCCATTTGTTTTGCCATCAGCTGTATCATTCCTGTGCTGTAATTTTCTTTGTTAATTTTATTCCCTCGTTAGGTGTTAGAATTGCACTTGTTTTGTAAAGGGTTTCCGCGCCCAGAAGGCTGCGAGCGCGCCCGGGTCGCCCCCCCGGCGCGTCCCAGCAGCAGGTCCGTTGGTGTCCGTCCCCCGTCCGCCCCCACGCAGGTCCCCGGACGCCTGGGCCCCGCGCCGGACCTGCCGCTTCTGCTCTGGAAAGGAGATGAAGGATTCGTGATTGGCTTTTGTTTTTTTAATTTATATCCCCCTGGTTCTCGGCTCCGCTCGCTTCCTTCCTGACTCCGTTCCCCTCTCCGTGCAAGCAGTGCAGAGCGTTCGGAAAAAAAGAAAAAAAAGGAAAGGAAAGAAAAAAGTTTACAGGATAGTTATTTTCAGATCTTTGCTTGATAAGTATTAAAGTAAGAAATATCTAACTTGCTGCCATAATTTAAAGCTTTGGGGGGTGTTTGGGGTTTTTGAGCAATATGTTTTTGCTGGAATCTGAAGTCTGAGACCTTCTTGTGCTGGAACCACATGGACGTTGTTGATCCTGACAAGCAGACTGTGCATGTCTTTGATGCTCTGTATAATTCATACGTGGACGTTCAGTCTTTGGACAATAAACTGTATTATCAAACCGAAGGCGAGCTGTTGCTTCCGTGGCGCCGTGAGCGAGATGGGGGAGGGATATGGGTCCCTCTGCACAGCAGCTCTGCACCCCTCCCCGTGCCCCCCAGTGCAGGATTTCATGCAACGGGGTGCACCCGACTGCACAGGACGGGTGCGTGGGTGCAACCCCTGTCCTCGGGTAGGGGCACCTCGTGGTCGGTACACGGGCTGGTTGCTGCACAGGGGCCTCCGGGATCCCTGCACAAGGCTGGAGCCGCTGCACGGGGCGGGTCAGTGAATGAGGCTGGTCGGTGCACAGGGCCCACGCGGGTCCCTGCACGGGGCTGGTCGGTGCACGGGGCTGGTCGGTGCACGGGGCCCACGCGGGTCCCTGCACGGGGCTGCTCGCTGCACGGGGCCACGCGGGTCCCTGCACGGGGGTGGTCGGTGCACGGGGGTGGTCGGTGCACGGGGCCACGCGGGTCCCTGCACGGGGCTGGTTGGTGCACGGGCCCACGCGGGTCCCTGCACGGGGCTGGTCGGTGCACGGGGCTGGTCGGTGCACGGGGCCACGCGGGTCCCAGCCCGGGGCTGGTCGGTGCACGGGGCTGGTCGGTGCACGGGGCCCACGCGGGTCCCGGCACGGGGCTGGTCGGTGCACGGGGCTGGTCGGTGCACGGGCCCACGCGGGTCCCTGCACGGGGCTGGTCGGTGCACGGGGCCCACGCGGGTCCCTGCACGGGGCTGGCCGGTGCACGGGGCTGGTCGGTGCACGGGGCCCACGCGGGTCCCAGCCCGGGGCTGGTCGGTGCACGGGGGTGGTCGGTGCACGGGGCCCACGCGGGTCCCGGCACGGGGCTGGTCGGTGCACGGGGCCCACGCGGGTCCCGGCACGGGGGTGGTCGGTGCACGGGGCCCACGCGGGTCCCTGCACGGGGCTGGTCGGTGCACGGGGCCCACGCGGGTCCCGGCACGGGGGTGGTCGGTGCACGGGGCCCACGCGGGTCCCAGCACGGGGCTGGTCGGTGCACGGGCCCACGCGGGTCCCTGCACGGGGCTGGTCGGTGCACGGGGGTGGTCGGTGCACGGGCCCACGCGGGTCCCGGCACGGGGCTGGTCGGTGCACGGGGCTGGTCGGTGCACGGGGCCCACGCGGGTCCCGGCACGGGGCTGGTCGGTGCACGGGGCTGGTCGGTGCACGGGGCCCACGCGGGTCCCGGCACAGGGCTGGTCGGTGCACGGGGCTGGTCGGTGCACGGGCCCACGCGGGTCCC